TTGGTTTGGATCTGTTTATATGTATGGACGGTGGAAGACAGGAGGCTAACTAAGAAAGTATTAGTCTGGAAGTAACAAGTATGTATAAGCATTTCAGAGCAGATGGTTTGATCAAACATGGGAACAGTGATATTCTGGAGGCAAAAGTAGTCAATGTTAGGGGTGAAAAGTAACTGAAGATCATTCGAGGTTAAATAGGATGCCAAAATTAAGTTCATGCAGCAACTAAGGTGGAATACAGCTAGGAAAAGAATTAGCTTCAGTTATCCCAACATTTAATTGGGAAAATTTTCAGATAATTCAGGAATAGATGCCAGGCACGCGGCCTGACAATGGCAGTGGAAAGTCAGATAGACATAATAATGAGACAGAGCTGAATATTATCAAGCAATATAGCAATCAGATATTCCCTGGGTGAAGTAAATAAATACACTTGGTTGTGCTGTCCACTGTAGATTGTGAATTTTCACCCAGTCTACATATGAAATTCAGTTAAGGTATATCTGCGCAACTGCATACCAGGCAGTTAATAAATCTCTGCAGTGGCATTTGTGGGAGCGGGGAGAGTTAAAGGTAAAATGTTGGTCTGGGCTACTAACTCTGGAAATTACAGCTTGCATAGCATTTCTTAAATAAAGGCCAGAACTTGCCTTTTAGCTTTTTCCACTTAATTGTTGTAGAACAGCACAGAAGTTGTATTTTTAGGTGTAAACTGCAAACAAATTTAAACCTGATTGGAACTTCCTACCAGACATGATACAGTGACATCTTCTGGGAATAGTGGCCTACATTGTCAGACAGGACAAAACTTTATTGCACTTAACTCATGGCAGCTCATTCATTTCAACAAACATCAAGTCAAAAGAAATCTGCCACTTGACTACAAACTTTCTTCTTTGCCTCAATTGAGTTTGGCTTCCTTTTTTTAAAACCCAGCATTTCTCCTTTTCACCTCTCCTCGTAGTCTTTGTGAAGGCCAAAAAATGTCAGAAATGACTTTCAACCACATTAAATCTTAAAAATGTAGACCACTGTGATATACTCACTTCCTTTCTGCTACCTCAGCAGTTAAGGATGGGAAAGTCCATGGTGGCCTTCTCAACTCTCCAATAATTAACATATTTAGATGGTAAATTAACAGCTACTTAAGCAGCTTAACTCACCAGCGAACCCAAAGTGGCTGTTTTCCTGACATGGAGGCCAGGAAGATGTAAGGTACAGCCTTCTTGCATTAACCACGAAAGGAACATAGATTCAATCAGTTGCTGTCATCTAAACCATTATTTTAATGCATTTCAATTCAGCAACAACTTATTTATTTAAAATGGAACAATTCCCTAATTAAAATAGTGAAGAAAAGAGAGAAATTTGGGTCAATCAGGTTTAGTATTGCCAATAGAGATTTGCAAACTAATAAACTGTAAATGAAAAGTGCTCACTGCATGAAAAGTAATTATGTGGTGGATCACTCATAATGGACAATTAAATTTAAGGGTTTATCTATTAACAAGCAAAGAAACTATTCCTGTACCGTACTACATTTAGGACATATTCGGGATAACACCTCAGCCTGTGAATGAATAAAGGAAAAAGAATATATATAGGTATATTTATTTATGATGTACCATAGTTTGATAATATCCATACCGATCACTTCAATGTAAGAAAATCAGTCTGGTACTATAAGGGCCAACAATTTACCCTGCTGGATTACTAACCAAGAAATGATAAATATCTATTCCCATAAACTGAAACCAACTGAGTATTAAGAAAAAGACTTTCATATAGCACCTTTCACCACCTCAGGATTGTCTAAAGTGTTTAACAGCCATTGATTTTTTTGAAAGAGTCCCTGTTGTAAATAGAAAACTCAGCAGCTAATTTGCGCACAGCAAATTCCCACAAACAATTTGATGATGAGCAGTAAGACTCTTGTAGTAATGCTGATTATGGATAAATATTGTGCAAGACATCAAGGGTAACTCCCTTGCCCTTCTTCTAATTAATGCCATAAGGACATTTACATAAAAATAAACGAAAGCAGAGAGGAGTTTGGTTTAACGTCACATCCAAAAGGTGGCACCTCGAACAATACAGCATGCTCTCAGTTTGATACTAGTGTCAACAGTGCGTGTTTAATTCCTGTATCAGCTAAGATTACCATGAAGTTCGTACCTTCTCAACCTCACCTGTCACTTGAGGCTTGGTGACCCTGAAGTTAAACCACCACTAGTCGTCTCTCTCTCTGATGAGAGAGCAGCCCTATGGTCCTCTGGGATGATGACAACTTTATTTTTAGTGTCAGTCTTGACTGCTGTGTTGAAATCCCTGGAATGAAGCCAGAATCTGCTGACTCAGAAGTGAGAGTATTAGCAATTCAGCCACACATGGAAAATTGTGTTCCAACCAAATGTCCACTTGAGTGGAGGTACCATGGTTTTTCTGCTTGCAAACACCAAGGAATCCTATGCTTTTTCAAGGCATGAGCTTGAAAATAATTCAAAATATAAAAATATAAGGAAGCACCTCCAAAACAAGCAGACATTTAAAACAATCTCTTCATTGTTGTGAAAGGATTTCATACCATGACATGAAATAAAGACTGAAAGAACTGCAGATGCTGGAAATCAGAAACAAAAACAGAAATTGCTGGAAAAGTTCAGATGTTCTGAGGAAGGGTCACTGGGCCCAAAACATTAACTCTGATTTCTCTCCACAGAATGCTGCCAGACCTGCTGAGCTTCTACAGCAATTTCTGCTTTTTTTTCATACCATGACACTTCTGGTAAGAATGGGTTTAATATCAATGTTTAACCACAGATCTTCCCTCGTTTCTATGTGGTTTTCTTACATTAATGACCAGATTGCCACACAGTCAAATCCACATTTAAATACATTTAAGTTTAGTCTGACAGGAGTAAAATGTCCATTACATTGACATTGCATCTATAGTGTCAACCTGACAGGGAATTGAGGAATCTGGAAAGTCAATGCTACTGATCTTTACATCTTCTAGATTTAAACAGAACAAGCTAAAACTTATTCTCGATATATATTTGCCAAACTTCCTTTAAAATGCAAATAATTTTGAACACATGATTGATTCTGAAAATACTTTTATTTTGAAAGCAATTTCTTTTTCTTTTTTCATTAATGGGATGAGGGCGTTGCTGGCTAGGCAGCACTTATTGCCCATCCCTAATTACCCAGAGGGAAGTTCAGAGTCAACCACATTGCTGTGGGTCTGGAGTACATGAAGGCCAGACCAGGTAAGGATGGCAGTTTAATTCCCTAAAGGACTTTAGTGAACCAGATGGGTTTTTCCTAACAATTGACAATGGATTCATGGTCATCATTAGATTCTTAATGCCAGATATTTTATTGAATTCAAATTCCACCATCTGCTGTGGTGGGATTCACACCCAGGACCCAAAATGTTATCTGGGTCTCTGCATTAACAGTCAAGTGATAATACCATGAGGCAATCTCCTTCCCTGCATATTATTGCACTGTCAAAGCAGTTTACAAGAATTCAGGTTGTGTTCTACAAATCAACAGAGCACTGTGAATGGAGCTAAAAACATCTAAATGGAGAGAACACAAAATGCAGATACACATTTGAAGAAATGCAAGAAGCTCATAAGCACTTTAAAAGAAGCAGCTATCCAAGGGCAGCACAGTGGCTCAGAGGACCCATGTGCCAGGGTCCCACATTCAATTCTGCCCAGAGAGGGATTGCCTGTGTGGAGTTTGCACATTCTCCCTGTGTCTGCATGGGTATCCTCTGGGTGCTCCGGTTTCCTCCCACAGTCCAAAAGATGGATGGGCCATGCTAAATTGCCCACAGTGTCCAAGGATGTGCAGGCTAGGTGGGTTAGCCATGTGAAATACAGGGTTACAGTGTGGTTGAGTCTGGGTGGAATGCTCTTCCAAGGATCAGTGTGGGCTCGATGGACCAAATGGCCTGCTGTCACACTGTAGGGATTCTAAGAAAAGCTTGGATAAAATAAATAAAAGAAGGGACAGAGTCTTGGAGCTGTACAGCATGGAAACAGACCCTTCAGTCCAACCCGTCCATGCCAACGAGATATCCTAAATTAATCTAGTCCCATTTGCCAGCATTTGGCTCATTACTCTCTCAACCCTATTCATATCCCCTTACAGATGCCTTTTATTGAATGCTGTAATTGTGCCAGCCTCCACCACTTCCTCTGGCAGTTATTTCATGCATGCACCATCCTCTGTGTGAAAAAAGTTGCCCCTTAGGTCCCTTTTAAATCTTTCCCCTCTTACCTTAAACCTATACCCTCTTGCTTTGGACTCCCCTACCCTGGGGAAAAGACCTTCACTATTCACCCAGTGCTCCTCATGACTTTATAAACCTCTACAAGGTCACCCCTCCGTCTCCGATGCTCCAAGGAAAATAGTCTCAGCCTATTCAGCCTCTACACACAGCTCAAAACCTCCAACCCTGGCAACATCCTTGCGTATTTTTTTCTGAGCCCTTTCAAATTTGACAATATGTTTCCGAAAGCAGGGAGACCAGAATGTGTAAGTGTAATAGAAAAAAAGTAAATAAAGTTTCCAGAATGGCAAGACATGATTACAAAAATCTGCAGCACGATTGTTCTTAAAATCTGAAATATAATCTATGTTATAGCGATGAATTCCTCAGGGAATAATGTCCAGAGGAAAATCCGCAATGTATATGGAGCGCCGCAGAAACTGTTCCTCCCTGATTTACCCTGCCGAGCCCTAGACCCTCCTGGAAACTCCTGATATATTAAAGTAGGTAGAACTCTTTCTAGACAGGTTTCTAGGATCCTTTGATAAATCTCTGTTATAATAATACAAACAGTCTTGCAGACTTTATCGGACCCTCTCCCCGTTGCAGTCTGTAACGTTGTGTTGTGAACAGGCGCTAGGACCTAACCGAGCCACGCTCTGGTGAAGTAGGTAAAGCACTAACATTCCTCTCATTCCGATGTGAATGGGGTTGATTGTTGTGTATTAGTGCTGCACATTCGTCTCTGGCTAAAACCATTTTCCCCGCATTAGCCTTTAGGTCATCCCGGTCGGTTGCCCTTGCCAGCTCTTCGCGGAATTCACGGGAAAATTGCAAGTTACGTGGATTGACTACAAATTACAATTTCCAGCAAACGTTGAGAAACTCATTTTTGGAGGAGGCAGCCGAAGGTAAAAACTTAATCAGAAATAACTGTCGACCGGACAAGTTTGAGAAAGATGGTGAAAGTTTGCTTGGATTTCTGGTTCCGCGGTTCTTTGCGCTCCTTAATGCTTTCGGGGTATTGAAGGTTATGCTCAATTACAAAGAGGAAATGTAAAGTTAGAGGAAGTGGGAATACTGTGTTGTTCTTGTCTGGCGGCTGATGAATGAGAAACTCCTGGCGAAGAAGTGGTAGCCGCCAGGTTACCGACATGTTTTATTGTTTTTGTTCTTAATTTTAGAACAGAAACTGCCATCAACTTATCGTAAATATACGCGAGTAATATTACAGAAGAGCTGAGTAAATCATTGCAAGAACGAGACGGAAAATAGTCCTAAATGCGTGGCTTTGACTTGTATGATCAGTTTTTGTGATGTAAAATTCACTCGTGACCATGTAAATTTACACACGGACTTAACAGACCGTTCTTTTTAGTCCACGGGACTATTTTATTAATAGTTAATACGCCAGATTTCTAAATCTGTCTACGTTTTCAGTTCTTAACGTTTTAATGTTGTGGAGCTGAAAACAAGTTCAGAGTTGGTCCAAAGGCTATTTGTGTCTCTAGCCGGTCCCTGCTTTGCCTTTTGTTTCTCTGTACAGTCACAGCATTGAATGTTTATATGGTGAACAGTCAGTGAAAATAGTTCTAAAGCACTGAAGTGTCCATATTTTTGTTGCCGATAAAACTGTTCATTTCCAAACAGTATTTTAAAAATAATCTCAACTGTGACAGGCCTGTTTGCAATAAAGAAAAGATCAGGGGTAACTTTCCGCTTGTGTGCAATCACCTTGCGCTCGAAAAGGGGCAAAATGCCTTTAATAAGTCATAATTAGTCCTTCCATTATTGTGGCTTGACGTTCGTTCTGATTTTCATGTTAACACGTATCCAGCAGTCGGGAAACTTTTAAATACATTAAAATCGGGGCACTTTTTCTTTCCTACAGTCAATGCTTAAAGCCTTTTCCAATCATGGACAGCATGTCAGTGGTGCGTATTTCCAGCAATACTGAAGGGATCTTTAACTATTTGCATGAAGCTTTTGCTGAATCTTCCCCGCCCCCATTATCTTTTACGGCCACAGTCTCAATTTGAACCCGCCTGTTTGCCACCTGAGCGTTCTACTTGACCGGGAGATGAGCTTCTGGCTGTTTATCTTCTCCATCGTCAACATCGCCTGGCTCCACCTCCACACTGGCACCACTCCCCACCTCTTCCTCCGTTACATCGATGACTGTATCGGCGCCGCCTCGTGCTCCCACGAGGAGCTGGAACAGTTAATCAACTTTACAAACACCTTCCACCCCAACCTTAAGTTCACCTGGACCATTTCTGATACCTCTCTCTCCTTCTCTGGTAACCACTCTGGAAACTGATATCTATTTCAAGCCCACCCACTCCCGCAGATACTAGAATACACCTCCTCTCACCCACCTTCCTGCAAGAATGCCATCCCCTATTCCCAATTTCTTCACCTCTGCCGCATCTGCTCCCAAGATGAGGCATTCCACTCCCGGACATCCCAGATGTCCTCATTTTTCAAGGGCCGCAATTTCCCCTCAGTGGTCGAAAATGTCCTCAACCGCATCTCTTGCGTTTCACGCACCTCAGCCCTCACACAATAACAACAAAGACAGAATTCCCCTCATCCTCATGTATCACCCCATCAACCTCTGGATTCAACACATCATTCTCCGCCACTTCCGCCACCTGCAATCTGATCCCACTACCAAGGATATATTTCCCTCCCCACCCTTATATGCCTTCCGGAGGGACCGCTCTCTCCGCAACTCTCTCGTCCGCTCCACACTCCCCACTAGCCCCACTACGCCTGGCACATTTCCCTGCAACCGCTGGAAGTGCTACACCTGCCCCTAGACTTACCCCCTCACCTCCATCCCAGGCCCCAAGAAAACCTACCACATTAAACAGATGTTCACCTGCACATCTGCTAATGTGGTATATTGTATCTGCTGTTCCCGATGTGGCATCCTCTACATCGGGGAAACCAAGTGGAGGCTTGGAGACCGTTTTGTGGAGCACCTATGCTCAGTTTGTGACAAACGACTGCACCTCCCAGTCGCGAACCACTTCAACGCCCCCTTCCACTCCTTGGACAACATGTCTATCCTGGGCCTCCTCCAGTGCCACAATGATGCCACCCAAAGGCTGGAGGAACAGCACCTCATATTCTGCTTGGGAACCCTGCAGCTCAATGGTCTCAATGTGGACTTCACAAGCTTCAAAATCTCCCCACCTCTGACCTCATCCCAAGACCAGCCCATCTCATCCCCACCTCCTTGATCTGTCTGTCTTTCCTCCCACCTATCCACTCCTCCCACCTCACTGACCAACCCCCACCCCCATTTCCTACCTACTAGCATCATCCCCGCCTCCTTGACCTGTCAGTCTTCCCTCCCACCTACCCGCCCCTCCCTCCTCACTGACCAACCCCCATCCCAACTCCTTACCTACACTCACCTTTACTGGCCTCATCCTGGCCTCCTTGACCTGTCTGTCTTCTCTCCACCTATCTGCTCGTCTATCCACCTTCTATCATCGCCACCCCCTCTCTCTATTTATTTCAGAGCCCCCTTCCCATCCCCCATTTCTGAAGAAGGGTCCAGACTCAAAACGTCAGCTTTCCTGCTCCTCTGATGCTAACTGGCCTGCTGTGTTCATCCAGCTCTACACCTTGTTATCCACAACTGAGGTTGTCTCTGCCTGTTTCAGCCCATTTGCTTCCAAAGCCCTCTTTCATACCTTTGTTACCTCAAGACTCAACTTTTTTAATGCTCATCCAGATGAACTCTGCTTTTCTACCCTCTGTAAAGTTGACCTTATTCTCAACTGTGCTGTCTTTAATCAAGCAATCACTCACCAATTGCTCTACATTGACATTCAGATCACCAGTACCTTGATTTTATTTTATAAAAATTCATGTATGAATTGCTCCTGTTTCTTTGTAACTTTCTGCAACCCCACAACCCTCTGAGAACTGCCTGCTCCTCTTGTCCTATACCGTGCCATTACTGCTTGTACCTTCAACCATTTGGCCCTAAACTCTGCAACTCTTCCCCTAAATCCCCTGCCTCTCCTTGTTTAAGATATTCCTGAAAATCTGGTTTGTTGAAGCTTTTAGTCACCAATCCTAATATCTCCAGCCACAGTGCAGTGTCTGTTTTTAACTGATTACATACACTTGTCTAAAACATCTTGGAATGTTTTGCTATGATTTGTTTTTGTTGTAACTGCTTAAAGACTTTTACATTGGCAAATTGTGGGCAGATTTACAGTATTTGTTCCCTTGTGCCACAAATTCATTTTGAGCTATGGCAGACTATTGAAAATTGACTACGACATGATTTCCCATCTCCAGAAATGTAAATGCCGAACAGATGCTATTTCATATTGACATCTTGAGGATCACATCTGTGAGGGTGAGGCACAAAATTGTCCCTGCTTTCTTTTCTGAACGACTGTGGCCAGCCAACTTGCCAGCACCACCCCTGCCTCCCTATCCCCCAACACATGTGCATACTGCATGCACCACATAAGATTGTTTAAAGTAGTTCATCAGCCTTAAAAACTTGTTCAAATACCAAGTTTGCCTGTAATAATTCAAAAGCTGATGAGTGGCATTTGTTTTAAGTACAATAAAGGTTAAATATATTAAAGGACTATTTTTGTGTTTAACTTACTTTCACTTCTTCCTTTCTGTCCTACTTTGTATGCACTATATTTTTCAATTGAGTGTGTTGATAATTTGCCTATTTCACAGATTAAGTTTACCCCATCAAAATTTTTAAGTCTTGCATACAACGTCAATTGCACTGCCTAAAAAGTTTCCTCCCTCGTAGGTAGTTATAGAGTCTTGGTGTCATACAGCACAGAAGAGGCCTTTTCACCCATCATGTGTGTCGATCTATCCACACTCATCCCACTTTCTAGCACTTGGCCCGTAGCCTTGAATGTTATGATATTTCAATTGCACATCCGTATACCTTTTATTAAAGGCTGTGAGGTTTGCCACCTCTACTACACCACATTCAGGTTCCTACCATCCTCTGGGTGATTTTTTTTCCCCTTTAATCCCCTCTAAATATTCACCTTTTAAAATTATGCTCCCTCATTATTGACCGTTCAACTGATGGAAACAGCTGCTTCCTAACCATCCTGTCCATGATCCACGTAATCTTATAGACCTCAATCGGGCCCTCACTCAGCCTTAGTTAGAGACAAAACTGCAGATGCTGGAATCTAAGGTAGACAAACAGGAGGCTGGAAGAACACAGCAAGCCAGGCCAGGCAGTATCTGGAGGAAAGGAGAAGTCAAAGGGTATTATCTCCCTCAGCCTTGGGGATAGCAAGAACTGCATATGCTGGAGTCAAAGTCAACACAGTGTGGAACTGGAGGAACACAAGAGGTCAGGCAGCATGAGAGGAACAGGAAAGCCAATGTTTCAGATCGGGACCCTTCATCAGAACTGGGAAGGGAGAAGGGAGCTGGGAAATAAATAGAGGGAGGAGGGCTGGGGCTGGGAAAATGTAGTTGGGATAGTGATAGGTAGATGCAGGTAGGGCGTATTGGGGATTGGTCAGTGGGAAGGGTGGGGTGGATAGGTGGGGAGGAAGATGGACAGGTTGTGTCAGGTCAAGGAGGTGAGAGAGAGGATGGGTGGCGCTGGGGGAGGGGATGTGAGATGAGATAGTGATAGGTGGATGCAGGTAGGGGGTAGTAGGGATTGGTCAGTGGGAAGAGTGAGGCAGATAGGTGAGGAAGAAATGGATAGGTGTCCCGTCAAGGAGGCAGAGATGAGAGAGAGGGTTGGACGCGGGATGAGGCCAAGGATGTGGTCATTTTAAAACTGAGAAATTCTAGGTTCAGGCCTTCAGGCTGTGGGCTCCCGAGGTGGAATATGAGGTGTTGTCCTCCCTCCACCTTCTCTGATCTAAAGGAAATAGCC